AGGAGGGGGCCAAACTATTTTCCAAAGCCCCTGAAGGCCAGATAAGGAATAATGGATGGAAACAGATCAAGGAGAGATTCAACCTGGAAATAAGGAGGAATTTCCTGACAATGAGAACAATCAACCCATGGAACAGAAGTTGCCTTCAGAAGTTAGAATATAGAAAATAGATGTTGGGAGCTTCATCCCTGGAGGCTTTCAAGAAGAGACTGGACAGCCATCTGTCAGAAACTGTGTAGGCTCTCTTGCTTGGGCGGGGTGGGACTAGATCAGTGTTTCTCAACCTTGGCAACTTGAAGTCCACAGGACTTCAAGTTGTCAAGGTTGAGAAACACTGGACTAGATGATCTACAAGGTTCCTTCCAACTCTGTTAATCTGTTAAAGAATCTGTTAAAGAAAAATATTTAAATTTTAAGAAAAAATAAATAAAAGCCTCACTGGCACGTGGGCAGTATAGAGAGGCCAGCAATGAATTCACTCTTCGTAAAGTTTTGCCCTTCGGGGTTTTTTTCTGCGTGTTTTCCAGCTGTTGCAGATCTGCAGCGCATGTTCCCCACCCCGCCTTCCTTGGAGCAGCACCCGGCTTTTTCACCCGTCATGAGCTACAAAGATGGCATCAGCTCAGAGACTGTCACCACGCTGGGGATGATGGAAAGCCCGGTGGTCAACATGGTGGCGACTCAACTCACCGAGTTTAAAATGGAAGTGGAAGACGGTTTGGGCAGTCCGAAGCCGGAAGAAGTCAAGGTAAAACAGATCAAGTCAAGATGACGCGAGGTGCTAAAAGCACTTTATAAATGCTTTGCTAAAACCACCCTTGGAAAATAGATGCAGTTTTATTCGCCACAATGTAAAAAAAAAAGGTGTTGACACTGTAGAAAGAGAGCAGAGAAGAGCAACAAAGATGATTAGGATACTGGAGGCTAAAATACGCAGGAACTGGGTATGTCTAGTTTAATGAAAAGAAGGACCAGGGGTGACATGATAGCATCTTCCAAAATTTCAGGGGCTGCCACTCTCTAAGCAGTTTACAGAGTCAGCCTCTTGCCCCCAACAATCTGGGTCCTCATTTTACCCACCCCAGAAGGAGGGAAGGCTGAGTCAACCTTGAGCCTGGTGAGAATCGAACTGCCGAACAGCTGCCAGGCAACTGTCAGCAGACGTAGCCTGCAATGCTGCATTTTAAGCACTGAGCCAACACGGCTCATTATATAGTGTGAAAAGACTGATATATAGTCAGGATATATATATATTTCAGCCGGTCAGGATTGAACTCCTGGCTGTGGGCAGAATTAGCCTGCAATACTGCATTCTAATCACTGTGCACTATAGAGGCATGCATGCATGCATGCATGGAAGGAAGGAAGGAAGGAAGGAAGGAAGGAAGGAAGGAAGGAAGGAAGGAAGGAAGGAAGGAAGGGAAGAATAGCAATAGCCCTTAGACTTATATACCGCTTCACAGTGCTTTCCAGCCCTCTCTAACTGGTTTTACAGATTCAGTCTCTTGCCCCCAACAATCGGGGTCCTTATTTTACCCACCCCGGAAGGATGGAAGGCTGAGTCAACTTTGAGCTGGTGAGAATCGAACTGCTGAACCTGTAGTCAGCCAGCAGTCAGCAAAAGTAGCCTGCAATGCTGCATTCTAACCATTGCGCCACCACGGCTCAATATATAGTGTCCAAAGGCTGATCTATACTCAGGATATGCACTAGATAAATACATCTGGTTCTATGTACGTTGTGAATTCTTTAGTCATCAAAGAATGTCTCCTACCTCGGGGTGGGATTACACAAATAACAGCCTCACTTAACAATATCTGCAGTTACGTAGTGATGAGTGTTTAGTCTAGCTAGTTGCAGTATTCAGTATAGGTTCCTCCCCAAATGTTCTGCTTGGCTTCTGATGTAACAAGGACAGATCTCCGTGACTCGCCGAGCAAAGACTTTCCTTCTTTTACATACAATGAATTCCTTTTCCAAGGTATGCAATTATTTTAGATATAACGCAATCTACAAGCAGAGGGAGGCGGTGGCTCAGGGCCTAAGACGCTGAGCTTGTTGATCAGAAAGGTCAGCAGTTCGGTGGTTCGAATCCCTAGCGCCGCGTAACGGAGTGAGCTCTTGTTACTTGTCCCAGCTTCTGCCAACCTAGCAGTTCGAAAGCACGTAAAAAATGCAAGTAGAAAAATAGCTAACCACCTTTGGTGGGAAGAGAACAGCGTTGCGTGTGTCTTCGGCATTGAGTCATGCTGGCCACATGACCACGGAGACTTCTTTGGACAGCGCTGGCTCTTCGGCTTTGAAGGGCAGATGAGTACTGCCCCCTAGAGTCGGGAACGACTAGCACATATGTGCGAGGGGAGCCTTTACCTTTTCCTTTACCTTTAATCAACAAGCAGGGAGGTACCAATGTGGAGAAGAAATCCTCCTTCTTTTTGTATCCCCTCTTCATTTCTGCAGTTGTTTATTTTATTCATCGCCTCTCATTTGCAACCCGAGAAACCTGTTTTTCACCTCCCTGGATGTTGACAAGACAAATCTCTTTCCTTGAAACATAAAGTGATGATATGCCCAAATGATACTATTTGCTCGTTCCATCTGGGAAAAAATCCCAACTGCTGTTGTCAGAAAGGGAGGGGAAGAGGGAGGGCCCTATCATGCCATGATGTCATTTTCATGTGTTGCATTATGCTTCGTTAAAACAAGAGGAAGCTAGATATGAAATTAGGTTTTTTAACCAATCTTTGTCTCTCTATCTTTTTCTTTCTGTTTTATTTTTCATCTATTTCATCTCTCTGTCTCTCTCTCTGTCTCTCTCTCTGTCTCTCTCTC